TTCACATGGCGAAGTATAAGAATTGGATGGGCCTGGCGGCCGAACAAGCGGGCAGGAAGGAGGTGCTCCCGCATATCACAATGTTTGTCCTGCGCTCAGCGAATCACAAGCTTATGCAGTTTAGGCTTTACTGTTGGGCATTGGCGGCTAACAGAGCGCGTAAGGGACGGCGTTATATCCCTAGGGAGGAGCGAGTATGCCCTTGCTGCGGCACTGATAGCCATATCGAGGATGAGAAGCACATTTTGCTGGACTGTCTGGTGTACGACAAAATCAGATCTGATATGGGTTTCCCACGCTTCGAGCACACAAAAGACGCTATGAGGTGGGAACCTGAACGCCTGGCAAGGATGCTGGAACGTATATGGTCCCACCGCAACTCTATCATTCCCTTTGGTCGTGAGTATCCTTCATCACTTGTTTCGTTGGAAGTGCGAGGTAGGATGGTGCTTATAGGCGATCTGGCAGCCCTTGAGCCCTCGGCTCGTTTTAGGGTGGTTTGCAGGTACGGGGAACGCACCCACGACCATGTAACAACAATAACAACAACAACACACACACACACATACACACGCACACACACACACACACACACACACGCACACACACACACACGCACACACACACACGCACACACACACACACACACGCACACACACACGCACGCACACACACACACACACGCACACACGCACACATGCACACACGCACACACACATGCACACGCCACCCTGAAGCCGAAGGAAGAAGGTACGAAGTCGGACTGGAGCCTTGTAATGAGTGATGCCGTTACCTGGATTACAGTCCGGTGTAGAACCATGGGACGTGCAATGATATGGAGTCTTAAAAGCTTGGTAATCAGATGGACGCCGCTGCATGGTGGCTACTGCTTTCAGTATCAACCTGGCTGGCAGGCCCCTTCCGATCAGCTTCACATCCGCAAGGCCAGAGCATGCAGCATCGCCAATGGTTTGACCACCTGCTCCCGTAACTTAAGAACCGAATACCGTATGCCAGTGCCATGGGCCCAGCACTCTCCCGGAAAGGCACAAATAGGCTACCCGCTGTCCCTTGTCTATCTGATACTGCGACCAGCGACTTTATGCATGAAACTGCTGGTCACAAGAAGGTCCTTTCACAGTTCAATTGATAGCCTGAAGCTAAGCATGCGTGGAGTGCTGAACATGTAGCGTGCGTTGTGAAACACCTGGCAAAAGAGGTAACAAACACAGGGCGTGCTGACGTTCCATTCATTACTTCAGAGGTCAAAGGCAAGCCCGGGGCAAAGTAGGAGCTTTTCCCAGGTGCCAGCCTTAGGCTCCGACGTTTGGAAGCCCGTGGCTGATTGTAGGTTGCGAAGAGCTCATGCGTTTGGTCGAGGCCGCCCGTCCTCCCTTGATCTGATGTGTTGCTACAACAGGCTGCTTCGCGCGTACTTGTTGCCTTCCTTTGGTCCTAAACGGCCTCCGGTTCGACGCTATCACCCTTTTGCGGTCCAGCAGAGCTTGGACCTTGTGTTCACCGGCCCTGTCCGGGATGGAATGCCCTTTGCCGTCCTAAGCAGCGTGACCCATTATAACAGCTTGCTTCCTAGCAAGGACAACAGCTACTGTCCTCCCGTCCTACGGTACTGGTAATGAGTAAAGGCCGAACAGCTAGGGTCAAACACGGAAGGACCCTTTCGGCGCCTAAACAAGGTTTTGCAGTGCGTATCAAAATCCATCTTCAACGTGCACGTCACAGCATTTATGCAGTCGCCACTGAGTTATCCCTGCATCACAAACTTGTATGAAACTTGCAAACAGGTGTAGCAAATCGTTCATGCCAATCTGTGCAGGTGCAGATAGCTGCTAAGCGCATGTGTTGCAGGTGTGCCATGTCTGTATCCTGCGATCTCTGTTAGGTAAACGCCCTGTCCCACAGACAGGACAGGGATACGGCGTGCGTACGGCATCAAGATTTGCTTGCAAAACAAAAGCGCTGGTTGCCTGTGTTTCCGGTATCAGTTCTCTCCTTTGTGCAGCAGAGTCTGATCACCTTACGAACATCTAAAATGGCTTTCGCTCTCGCCACCTCTCGCAAGGCTCTGCAGGTCGCATGCAAGGCGACCGGCAAGAAGGCCGCTGCTAAGGTCCGTTTTATTTCGACACCATTTATTTTATCAGCGTGCCTTACATAGATGCAAATACGCATTTGCAGTGTCCTTCCGCTAACCAGAGACGTTTGTTCCGTTCGCAACATCTTTACAGCCGGCTGCCCCCAAGAGCTCTGGTATCGAGTGGTATGGCCCGAACCGCGCTAAGTGGCTCGGTAGGTTATCCTGCGAAGAAGATCCGATATGCAGCGGGTGTAGCGCGTATCGGAGGGCCGGAGTAATCGGTCGGTCTCGTGCATGGTCCTCCTTTCGGCGCAACATGCCGCAGCGTCAGGTTTCTGTGCGCAGGCTGCTCTTTCGGTCCTTTGCTTACATCGCGTGATGCATGCTGCGATGAAGGGCACAGGTGCCTTTCCCCCTTTCGTGACCTGCCGTTCAGTAGCCCGCTGCCGCCGTATGCTCGCTTTCCCCTTCTGTGCCCACATCGGACAGGCCCCTACAGCGAGAATGCCACCCCTGCCTACCTGACTGGCGAGTTCCCCGGTGACTACGGCTGGGACACTGCCGGCCTGTCTGCTGACCCGGAGACGTTCAAGCGCTACCGCGAGCTGGAGCTGATCCATGCGCGCTGGGCCATGCTTGGTGCTCTGGGCTGCGTGACCCCCGAGCTGCTGTCCAAGAACGGCGTGCAGTTCGGTGAGGCTGTGTGGTTCAAGGCCGGCGCTCAGATCTTCCAGGAGGGCGGCCTGGACTACCTGGGCAACCCGTCGCTGGTGCACGCTCAGAACATTGTCGCGACGCTGGCGTGCCAGGTGGGCGGGAGGGACGTGGCTGCATGCTTAGGAATGTGTCCGGTCGCCTTACTTGTTAGCTGGCTAGGTGAAACAAGGTGGGGCGCGGCAACTGTTCTCTGCCAGCGCTTGACTGTAGTAAGCTCCCCTGCCTTTTGCGCGCTCTTACATTCAGCTTGGCTTTGGATGCCTAGTTTGAGCCTTGTGGCATGTGAGCATTGTGCGATATCGCACATCCAGGAATCTGGGTGTCTCGTTTCCTATCCAGCTTGGTTTTATTGCAACGTAGCCCCAAGCGAGCAGACGACGCGTTAGATGGCGTGTTGCATATCCGTATTGACTGCTGTCTTCTCCCCCGCTCTCGCTGCTCACATGCCGCGCAGGTGATCCTGATGGGCCTGGTGGAGGGCTACCGTGTGAACGGCGGCCCGGCCGGCGAGGGCCTGGACCCGCTGTACCCCGGCGAGTCGTTCGACCCCCTGGGCCTGGCTGACGACCCGGACACCTTCGCCGAGCTCAAGGTCAAGGAGATCAAGAACGGCCGCCTGGCCATGTTCTCCATGTTCGGCTTCTTCGTGCAGGCCATTGTGACCGGCAAGGGGCCCATTGAGAACCTGAACGACCATCTGGCCAACCCGGCCGTCAACAACGCCTTCGCCTTCGCCACCAAGTTCACGCCCAGCGCGTAATGTATCGCTGCTATGTTTGCTAGTCGAGGTGGTTGTCCGCATCTGCCGGCCGCTGCTGCCTTCAGTTACGTTACGTTGTTTAGCTATGTGAACGTAGACACAACATAACCAATAAACTGCCAATACCGGTATACGAGACGTCACATGCAT